GTATTGCTTCTAAAAATGCAACACTGAACACCACATGTGTAAAGTAAAGTTTGTTATGTAAATTACAGGAATAAACAAGAATCATTAACTATAGAGTTGTTTGAATAATTCATTTTAAATGAAAACCATTCATTGTTAAAGAACACTATTGATTCTAGTTGTGCATCGTTGATTTAATATTTATATATTTCGTTCATATATGTATATATACAAACAGATTACCTGATATTTCTTCTCTTTTATTCCATAGCTGGTGTGTGCAGATTATTTAAATTTCATAAAAATAATTTTCTCTTGTTAGTAAATGTTTTTTTGATTGCAGTCTTTTTCTGATGCCATTAGCCGCGTTTCCACTGCCGGGCTAGGGCTGGGCCAGAGCTAACAGCGAGCCGGGCCGAGCTAGTGGCCTCGGGCCTCAAGCACCGGGCTTGCGTTTCCACTGCCGGGCCAGTAGCCCCACAGCGCTGCCCCAGACCCCACCCCTAACACGCCTTTCAGGATCAAACATCATAAAACCCAACCCATTTCAGCGGGTATTATGAATTAATTTATTTTTTAAATTAGGAAGATAGCATGTAACGTTATATTAACTCACCTGCCGTAGTGGCTGCAATAGTGTCCCGAGACCAGTACAGGCGATTCTCCATTTCAAGCAGCGATTTTTTGCGCGATATAACAAGTAGGGCTGCGGGCACGTTTTCAAGTTATTCATTAATCGTTAACCGAGGCCCATCGGTTAATACTCGGTGCATAGTGTGCGCGCCGCAACCTCGAGATACAGAGTAAATTTTTAACACCTTTAATAACTGATTGGACCCCATTTGAAACGAAATTAATTTATAGAAATAAAACGCAGCAAGTACGGAGCAGTTAAAGCCCCATTTCCATCACCCTTCAAACTGAAATTGCCAATTGAAAATAAGCAAAACGTCCATTTCACAAAAACTCCGTGTCTGCAAATAATAATAATAATAATAACCATCATCATCATTATTGTAACATTTTATTAGGCTGCATATGTAGAAGACGCCTTTATCCAAAAAAGGAACAGAGCACAAATAAACACAATATTTTTGACAAATATCAGCGCATATCCAGTGTGTGTGGAGCACGCACTGATGGCTGAGACGCCCATGTGAACAGTTTCATTGCATTTCTTTCAGTGGAAACAACTTAAAATACTCTTTAATTTCTGGTCATACAGAAAATAATAATACATTATTCGCAAATACATTTATTTATAACAAGAAAACGTTGTGCTTTAACAATTAATCAAGGCGCGCTTCATGATCTCCGTGTTTGAAGCGCGAGACCTGAAACAGCCACCGCATTCGAATTTATTCGTTTTAAATTGGACATTTAAAGCTTTAGTCTACAGGGGTTATATCCTTTGTAGATTAAAGCTTTAAATGTCCAATTAAAAACGAACAAATTCGAATCGAAAGCCAATATCTTCTATGTTTATGTAGCTTAATTTCTCTCTAAATGTGCATCCGGAGATGGAGATATGTTTTTAGCCGAAAATCATTTAGAAAACAATAGTTTATTAATAAACAATTAATGCCTCGTTATTTTATATTATTTTATTATCAGACACATTTATTATAGCCTATAAATCACCCATAAATCCCCTTTCTGTAGGCTGTGGTTACGGCTCTTCTCATTCAGCACTGCGGGGAAAATATCATTTCCAGGTTCTAATTTGGCCTCAGAAAACCAGTAAAATATATATATTTTTTCATATTAATTTGTCAAATATTTTAAATGTTTAAGGGGCAAAAAAATCAAACAAATATCTGAAAATTCGTCGATATGTAGCTATATATAGCCTATATATTGTTGCGCAGCATTTGGCATAGGCCTACAGTTCAAATTAAAATGTTATGCAATTTTAAACGGTTAATCGGTTAAACATGGACACCCCTATGTGCATCTTGCTTCAGATCATAACGTTCCATAACACCGATAAACTCCGCCTTTTACCTTGAGCACGCCTCTAGCCCGAGCTGGCCCCCTCTGGCCCCCTCTGGCCCAAGGTATTCGACGGGCCAGAAATCCTGGCCGTTGGCCCTGAGGAAGCCCCGATCAAGCCCCGGAAGTGACAGTGGAAACGCGACTGGCCCTGGCACGCACTAGCACGGCCCGGCCCTGGCCCGGCAGTGGAAACGCGGCTAATGTTTTTGTTGGATTTGCTTCTCAGTTCCATGCAATTTTAAGCTTTCCCTGGTTCCTTCCATGTTTTATAGGCAACCTCTGTCATGCTAATTCAGATTAGCACAGTTGGTTTTAATTTAATATGATTTATTTTAGTTCAGGACTCCATAGTCCAAGTCTAACTAATCTGTACTTAATCTGTGTTACAAAAAGCCATTTTTTAAGACATGATTAACTATTCTAGATTAAGGCCTACTCCAGGCTTAATTTAAACCCTGTCCGGGAAACCGCCCCTTTATGATTTAGAGCTCATGAATTATCAATTGATTATCTGTGCATTTGGGGGTGTTTTGTTTGACATAATTTGTGGCCATAGCTCTGTTTAAGCCTTTTCTTACAGTATGTCATGTTAAATCATACAAGTCCAGATGTCAGCTTAACTGTGGAAACCCCACATAGGGGCGGACTGGCCATCTGTGTGATCTGGAGAATTGATAGCGGATGCCAGCAAATTAGTTAACCCTCTCTGGTACGCAATATGATATCAGTGAGAAAAAAAAAATATTTGTTATGTTTTTCCTACTTAAAATTGGAAACTATAACAATATCAATAAACATTATCATTATTTTTAGATTTATTTATTAATTAAAAGTCTGTTGCCTCAAGGTAACATTGTACCACAATGGACAAATTGAAACATTTGACATTTTCATGAAGACAATAATTATAGATTTATTGAAAACATCAATTGATTTAACTAAACATTTGAACAAACATATAATATCAACAAACTTATCAAGTATTTAATGAATCACACATTTCATATTTAATAAAAAGTAACATTTATTATCCAGCTGTTGCCCTCAGGCAACATTGTACCATCCTGGAACGCAAGTACTACAAACCATCATATCAAGTTATCATATCAAAACATTACAATCAGTGTTGTTTCAGGGTAAAACATTAACAATCACCATAACCTTATCCTAATATGAAGGCCAGGCCTCAACAACAACAAGATCAAACATGTGGAAGACCTCCCAGGCCGACCTAATGACCCATGTGAGGTCAGGGGTGCCTGACCCCCCAGGGGCCCGACAGGAACCCCCCAAAATCCGAGAATCCCAGAAGCAGCGCCGCCTTCATCCTGTGTGGCACCACATGCCCACATCCCACTCACCCACTATTTGTCCAATTACCCACTATAGTGGCCAAATGTCCCGTTGACCCAACTGAACAGTCCGCAGCCACGACCCAGTCCCACAAACCCACTATTTGTCCGATTACCCACTATAGTGCCCAAATGTCCCGTCGACCCCGGCTGACCACTCCCAAGCCCCGTCCCACGAACCCACTATTTGTCCGATTACCCACTATAGTGGCCAAATGTCCCGTCAACCCCCACTGTCCATTCACAAGCCACACGCCCCGTCCCACGAACACACTATTCGCCCGATTACCCACTATAATGGCCAAATGTCCCGTTGACTCCTGCTGACCACTCACAAGCCACGCCCCCATCCCACAAACTCGCTATTTGCCAGATTACCCACTAGAGTGACCAAATGTCCTGTCGAACATGCTGAGTTTTCAGATTGTAAAAATGCAGATACATTGGTTAGTATTTTATTTACCCTCCCCTAAAAAAGTTTGGGGAGCATTGACCAAAAAATGTTATTAATTTTTATTTTTAAAAAAGCTAAAATAGACTATGTTGCCTGGAGGAAACACCGTACCATAGAGGGTTAAAATCTCCCGGAATCTAGAGCGAGTAAGAATGTGCGTGTGCCACACAAAGCCTAACCAAGGTTAGGTTGGTTAGGTAAGGACCTAACCAACCAATTGTCAGTGCGGGCAAGCTTTTATCTCTACTACTCCCAAACCGAATTAATCAGAAATCACTTTGCAAGTTACTTGCTAGGGATGTTAGGAATTGATATTCAGCTTGCCACATTTTTAATGATTACAGTAGTTAAAACAGCTAAACTTCAACATTTTAGCTGTAAAATGCCACATGCAGATCATATTAAGAAATATGTTGTGCTTTTACTTTTAAAAATGTTGGTATCGTTACAGTTAATGCTTACAAACTTTGAAGATTTTAAATACAGAAGTTACATTTGTAATGGTGTAGCCTATTTTCATTTAGATGTGGTATTATTATTTGTGCAGTAGCTAAGATTAATTACTGCATAAATAATTAAGATGATTAAGTAATAAATTTATTTTAAGACAGCATGGAATAGATTCTATATTGTGCTGTTTGCTATAATTTGGATAGTATATATCATGAGCCACAATTAAAGTCTTGTGACACTCATGCCAGACTGCAGGCGTTATTGTTGTTGTTGTCGAGGTTTTGTGCGCTGATTGCTTTGGGCCGGGCCTAGTCAAAGTCCAGGGCCATTTTTTTAGTCCCAGTCCGTCCCTGACCCCACATACTATTAAAAACTGTCAAATTGTTCAAAGACATAAAAGCAGTTATTGAGCTATTCCCTAAAAAGTGTATTGGAGAGAGTAAGGTGAGATAGGGTTTATCTCGATTACACGACTGTTATACAGTTTTTCTTTAAAAAAATAAAAATAAAAAAAACATTTCAGCTGGGAGATTGCTGAAGCCTTTGCTTTGACCTCTGGATATGATTTGAAAGCACTAGCTACTTGATGCTTCTGCACTAAAGTGTTTAATTCCCAGTGTTTAACATTTTATTACAGTTTTTAAGGGTTAACAGATAATTATATCCATTATGGTTAAATGTATATATATATATATATATATATATATATATATATATATACATACATACATATAAAACTGTTTATATCACTTTCTTTTATTTCTCAGACTACAAGGCTTTTCAGGTGACTGCAGAGAAGTTTCAACCATATGTGAAGTTTTTTGCCACTTTTGACAAAGGGGTACGTGCAGACCATTCCTTTACAATAAAAAAAAATAATGAAGACCATTAGACATTTTTCTGGTATACGTTATTCTGGTATAAAAGTGAGAATTTATTTGTGTGTAAATGGCTATGACCATCATTGAGGAAACAGGGTTATGTTTTGTTTTTATTTATAACCGTTTCATGCTACAGGTGGCTAAACAACTGACTCTAAAAATGAATGAAATCGATTTCTATGAGCCATTCATGGATGAGCCTGTAACCATTCCTGGCAAACCTAACTCAGTAGAGGAGATAGTGGACTTTGTTAATCAACATAGAAGGTGATATCAGTGGTAACCTCAGAACTTTGGCATTGCTAAACTATCATCTAAAATATCCACTTTCATTCTAAAAAACAACGTTTGATCCTCCCCAGGCCCACTCTGAGAAAGCTTCGTGCTGAGGACATGTTTGAGACTTGGGTAAGCAAGACTGGATCTATTCTGTAGGACTGATCTTGTCACAGTCACCATCTAATTTTCATTGTCTCTGTGTCACCTGGTTTCTGTTAATCTGTGTTTGTATTTAGTTCCTTTCAAGTTCAGCCAGTCTTGGTTGGTTCTTAGTTCTAATTAGTGCGTGCATGTGCATGTGCATGTTCATCCTGCCTGTCTCTACCTGTTGAAATCTTATTATATTTAGTTAAAGTTTGTATTGGAGCTTTCTCACTCATCGTCTTCATCTTCCTACACCACACCGTCCGACGTCCGTGACACACATCTATTAAATGTTAACTGTTGATTTATATGGCTGCTGGTTCACTGCTTAAGTGATCTATCTCTGCTCAATTAACAGGAAGATGACATGGATGGAATCCACATTGTTGCCTTTGCTGAGGAGGAGGATCCAGGTTGTCACTTCCAAAATAAAAATTGTTTACTGCTATCATCAAGATTAGATTTTGTAGCTCAGAATGATAGTATTAATAGCTCAATCACTTAATTTGTGCTTTTTTTCATAGACGGGTATGAATTCCTGGAAATTTTAAAGGACGTTGCAAGGGATAATACAAAAACCCCAGATCTAAGCATACTGTGGATTGACCCTGATGAATTTCCTCTGGTGAGATGTTATCCCATCCATGTCTACGTATTTCTCTGCTTAAATTGAAACAGTGACAATGTTGTAATGTTGTAATAGCTATTTCATTTGCAGTTAACTACTTACTGGGAGAAGACCTTTAAGGTGGACCTTACCAGACCCCAGATTGGTGTGGTGAATGTGACTGATGCAAGTAACTTTGGCCTTCGGTTTTTATGTTATTTAAGTATTCTACTTTCCCTTTCGAAGTCACTTCGAGTTACTTCAGAAGTGACGGAGAATGGGGGTTTCGCATGAAAGCCAATCCTCTTCGAGTATTTAACAACGAGCCAATAGCATGCAATGCCTTGGGGCTGCGGAAATTTGCATAGCGTACTCCGGGCCACTCCGTGAGTATAAAAGGAGGAAGTGAACGCAACCGCAGTATGTTTTCGCTTCAGTGCCAAGAGAACTCTTCACTCCTAAAGCCATTCTCACTGATCCAAAGACTCTTCGAGACGAGCGTCCTCTTCAGTGTTGGTGTGACGGCGGTACCCAGCGAGATTCTGCATCGCCTGCGATCTGAGCAGTGGTCTGCCAGACTTTGCGCTTCTCCCTGGTCGCCTCAGCGCTGAAAGAGTGAATTTCCTCCTCTCATTGAAAGAGCTGCACGTGGTACATCTTTTTAAAGATGTCTCGCCCGTGTTCTTCTGGGTGCGGTCGATTCATGTCATCTTCTGATGGTCACGATCGCTGCTCTGTATGCCTGGGCATTCAGCATGCAGCAGCAGCGTTCGTGGATGACTCATGTTGCTTCTGTGGGAACATGACCATCTCTACACTGAGATCTAGACTCAATGATCTGACTAAAGTGAGAGTCCCCGTCCCCGCTACTCGATCAGCTTCTTCCACGAGAAGCTCGTCGACCCGCGGACAGGGTGATTTGACGGTGACGGTGTGGAACAAAGCCCCGACGATTCCTCGGGCCACACCCCCCGCCCCAGTGTTAGAGCCAGCGAGCGCCGCTTCGATTCAGCCGTCTACCTCTTCGCAGGTACCGTCTGTTTCGTTCGGCGCTCCAGATGATGATGCGATGTCGATCGCGGCATCACAAGGCGGGCTTGATTCTTCGGGAGATGAGGATGTGGCTGCGTTGCCTCCCTCGGGAGTGCCAGCGTTGCCCGTGTCTGATCCCGAGTTGACGGCCATGCTTTCTCGGGCCGCCGTGAGCATCGGGTTAGAGTGGAACCCTCCGCCCTGCCCCGATCTCTCACGGATGGATAATTGGTTTTTGGGCAAGGCTGCCGCCGCAAGGCCACAGCCAACCCCAATACCTTTTTTCCCCGAGTTGCATGCGGAGCTGACGCGCTCTTGGAAGGCTCCTTTGTCCTCTTGAGAGCGCGCTCTGATCTCCCCCGCCTTTCCTCCCCTCGATGGTGGGGCCGCCCGTGGGTACGCTGGGATGCCCCCGGTGGAGCGCTCTGTTGCGATGCAGCTGTGTCCACAGAGCGCCTCCTCCCGTGGTCCTCCTAAGCACCCATCCAAAGCCTGTAGGTTCTCGTCTGCTATGGCGGCGCGTTCCTATAGAGCGGCGGGACAGGCGGCCACCGCTCTGCATGCGATGAGCACCTTGCAGGTTTTCCAAGCCAAGTTGCTCAGAGATATGCATGAGGGCGGGACTGACCAATCGGCTTTCAACGAACTGCGAGCAGCCACAGACCTTGCTCTCCGGGCAACGAAGGTGGCGGCTCGCTCCGTTGGTCAGGTGATGGCCACTAGTGTGGTCCAGGAGCGCCATCTCTGGCTGAACCTCGCAGATACACGGGATGCCGAGCGGACTCGTCTGCTCGACGCCCCATTATCTCAGGTTGGCCTTTTCGGCGGTGCAGTCGAGGACTTCGCCCAGCAGTTCTCGACTGCCCAGAAGCAGACGGAGGCAATCAAACATATTCTGCCCCGACGGCCAGCTGCTGCCTCCACCCAGCCGTCGGTACAGATGCCTCCCTCTACTCGCCGCCGAGGACGCCCCCCTACAGCTCCCCTCCCTCCCACGCGGCCCCAGCAGCAGCCTTCACCCGGGCCGCGGCGCGGAGGAGGCCGTAGGCAGGCGTCACAGCCCCCTCAGGCCACATGCCCCGCTAAACGCCAGGCTAAGCGACGTTCCTGACATGGGCTGCTCAGTGGTGAAGTCAAGTTTTTCCCAGGAGGCGGTAGCAGGCCCCCTCCTTCCCCCGGTGGAGGGCCGGGGGAGAATCTTTTGTTCTCAGCTCCCCGCTGCTCACCCACGGGTGGGCAGCACCCTGAGTTGGTTAAAGAAAGACTTGACATCATTACTGAGCACACAGACTGGAATGAGTGCGCTCGACGTCCCAGTGCGTCAGCCCACTCATTCCTCTCTCTGAGGGTGCGGAAGGGAGCGTGTGTCGTCCCTCGACTACGCCGCTCCCCTCCCCCTCTATCGCCAGACCCCCGGCAGAACAGACCCCCGTGGAACGCTGGTCCTTCCCTGGTCTCTTCTGTCGGAGAGCGGGCTTCCACTGCGCATCCGGGCGCATGCCAGTCGACTCCTGCGCGCATGCCAGTCGACCCGCCTCGCTGCCCCTCCGGGGGGACGTCTGTGGTTCTCATGACCCCGCTGGTTCACTTCCTGGAAGCTTGGCTAGAGCTTCCCGGGCTGTCCCGCTGGGTCATCAGAACGATCAGATTCGGCTACGCGATTCAGTTCGCAAGGTCTCCTCCCCGTTTCAGGGGAGTTCGCTCCACGATGGTCGGTGGCAATGCCCCGGTCATGAGAGCGGAGATTGCCACCCTGCTGGCGAAGGGTGCAATCGAGACGGTCCCTCCAGCCGAGATGAGGTCCGGGTTTTACAGCCCCTACTTCATTGTCCCCAAGAAGACCGGTGGGTTACGACCGATCCTGGATCTGCGCATTTTGAACCGTGCTCTCCATCGACTACCGTTCAAAATGCTCACGGCCAAACGCATTTTTGAATGCGTTCAGCCTCAGGATTGGTTTGCAGCGATCGACCTGAAGGACGCGTACTTTCATGTCTCCATTTTGCCTCGACACAGACCGTTTCTTCGGTTTGCTTTCGAGGGCCAGGCATATCAGTACACGGTTCTCCCATTCAGGTTAGCTCTGTCCCCTCGCGTCTTCACGAAGATCGTCGAGGCAGCCCTTGTTCCCCTTCGCGAACATGGGGTTCGCATCCTGAACTATCTCGACGACTGGCTGATACTGGCACACTCTCGAGAACAGGTTTGCGAACACAGAGACTTGGTGCTCCGGCACCTAGCCCGTCTGGGCCTTCGGGTCAACCGGGAAAAGAGCAAACTTTGCCCCGTGCAGAGGATCTCTTTTCTCGGCATGGAGATAGACTCGGTCGATAGACTCGGACTCGATAGACTGCATCTACCACGGGTTGGGGTGCCATGTGCAATGGGCATGCAGCCGCGGGTTCCTGGACAGGACCCCAGCGCCTCATGCACATCAATTGCCTCGAGCTGCTGGCAGTATGCCTGCACCGCTTTCGAGCATTGCTCAGGGGTCAACACGTACTTGTCCGCTCAGACAACACGACTGCAGTAGCGTACATCAACCACCAGGGGGGTCTACGCTCACGCCGGTTGTCGCAGCTCGCCCGCCACCTCTTGTTATGGAGTCAGAAGCACCTGAGGTCCCTTCGTGCAGTGTACATTCCAGGAGCTGTCACGGATCCGCCCTATCTCCGGCGAATGGCGACTCCATCCCCAGACGGTTCAGCTGATTTGGGACCAGTTCGGGGTGGCACAGATAGATCTGTTCGCCTCCCGGGACTCATCCCACTGCGCCCAGTTTTATTCCCTGACCGACGGTACGCTCGGCACAGATGCACTGGCGCACAGCTGGCCGCGGGGCCCACGCAATATGCGTTTCCCCCAGTGAGCCTTCTTGCACGGGTGTTGTGCAAGATCAAGGAGGACGAGGAGCAGGTCTTGCTGGTAGCCCCCTATTGGCCCACCAAGACATGGTTCTCCGAACTCATGCTCTTCGCGACAGGACCTCCTTGGCCTATTCCTCTGAGACAAGATCTACTCACTCAGAGACGGGGCACTCTGTGGCACCCTCGTCCCGAGCTCTGGAGACTGCACGTGTGGCTCCTGGACGGGACGAGGCAGGTTTGAGTTCGCTGCCACCTGCGGTGGCGGCAACCATCACTTCCGCTAGAGCTTCGTCCACGAGACACCTCTACGCGTTGAAGTGGAACTTCTTCGTCAGCTGGTGCTCTTCTCGCGGAGAAGACCCCCGGAGATGTTCGATCAGTGTCGTGCTTTCCTTCCTGCAAGAAGGGTTGGAGCACAGGCTGTTGCCCTCCACCCTTAAGGTTTACGTCGCGGCCATTGCCGACTCTCATGAAGCAGTAGAAGGTAAGTCCTTAGGGAAGCACGACCTGGTCATCAGGTTCCTGAGGGGAGCGAGGAGGCTACACCCGCCTCGTCCTCCCCTCGTACCCTCTTGGGACCTCTCAGTAGTTCTAAGTGCTCTGCAGAGGCCTCCCTTTGAGCCTTTGCAATCGGTAGAGTTAAAGTTTCTGTCCATGAAGACAGCACTCCTGGTTGCATTGGCCTCCATCAAGAGGGTGGGGGACCTGCACGCATTCTCCGTTGACGAAGCGTGCCTGGAGTTAGGGCCGGCTTACTCTCATGTGATCCTGAGACCCCGGCCTGGATACGTGCCCAAGGTTTCCACCACTCCCTTCCGAGACCAGGTGGTGAACCTGCAAGCGCTGCCCCCGGAGGAGGCAGACCCAGCCTTGGCACTGCTCTGTCCAGTACGTGCTCTCCGCACCTACGTAGACAGAAAGCGGTGTTTCAGGACCTCAGACCAGCTCTTTGTCTGTCATGGGGGGAGCCAGAAGGGAAGGGCTCTCTCAAAGCAACGGCTGTCTCACTGGATAGTAGACGCCATTGCTTTGTCTTACCAGCAGCAAGGCCGTCCGTGCCCCCCTGGTGTGACGGCCCATTCCACTCGGAGTGTGGCCTCCTCTTGGGCTCTAGCGCACGGCGCCTCGCTAACAGACATCTGCAGAGCTGCAGGCTGGGCGACACCCAACACCTTCGCAAGATTCTATAATCTGCGAATCGAGCCGGTGTCCTCTCACGTACTCGCTTCCACCAGTACTGGACCCGCTTAGGTGTCTTCGCTTGCTCGCCACTCCACTCCTCTGACTGGATAAGTGCGATATTCCTCAGTGTCTTCCGTTGAAGCCTTGAGCCTCCAGCACCGATGATGCGGGCACCACTCTTGTTACTCTGGTTGCTGACTAGGTGCCTCCGTGTGCACGGTTCCCTATGGTAACTGTCTCATGTGTATTATCCACTGTAAGCCTCTCTGAGCATGTGTCTTCCCTTGGCAAGCCATCTGCCACCCTTGGAGTTAAATTCTAGTAGCCACCTGCGGTTGGTGCTCCAGTGTTCTCCATATACGTTCTATTCGGCCATATGTGTATTTGTAAGTCCTCCTTCGGTAGGCATCTGGTAGCATGTCCCTCCCGGGATATGTTTCCCAGTGTACCTTGGTAATCCTGTGTCAAAGTAGGATCCTGGTAAAAAAAAAAAAAAAAAGGGGGTAAGGTTCGGGGTCCAGACTTTCGCAGGGCACTGGAAGACAGCTTGAAGATGGCGTGATGGCACTGACCCCCATTCTCCGTCACTTGACGTAACTCGAAGTGACTACAAAAGGGAACGTCTCGGTTACGGATGTAACCCTCGTTCCCTGAGTAGGGAACGGAGACGTTACGTCTCCCTGCCACTTCTGCTGTACCGCTGGGTAGACGCCTAGTTCACTCTTGGCTCCTCAACGAATACATACTGCGGTTGCGTTCACTTCCTCCATTTATACTCACGGAGTAGGGCGGAGTACGCTATGCAAATTTCCGCAGCCCCAAGGCGTTGCATGCCATTGGCTCGTTGTTAAATACTCGAAGAGGATTGGCTTTCATGCAAAACCCCCATTCTCCGTCATTTCTGACGTAACGTCTCCGTTCCCTACTCAGGGAACGAGGGTTACATCCGTAACCGAGACGTTTTCTGTCCTAGCCTTCATCACTGTGAAAACACCTCTTCTCTACATTGAAATATGTAGGCTGTATATTACACAGTTTTAGCTTTAAATACCCTTTTGAGGTAAAGTTTAACATAAAATAACCATAATGATCTACTACGATAAAGCATTTAATCACACACTATTCTTTAGTAAACTTTAAATTTACAGGCCTACTGTAAAGCCTACACCTACTAAATTATTCTTAACTTTATTTAGTTTTATTAGATAAAGACACTACAGAATAACATTGCTGCAATAATTTGAGCACAGATGCTCTCTGTAAATATGCTTAACTACAGTAATATCTATTTTGCAGGATGTATGTCTGGTTATGCTTTTAATAAGAATCAATGAAATCTAACAACCAACAACCAAAATGTATAACACAGTGTCACAACGTACAAGTTACTTTGGAACTACATTTCAACTAACTCTCATTTGAGTATTAGTGGACTGTCTGTTTAACAGACATTCTACTAACTATGTACTGTAACTTTGCAAGTATACATTTACATTACATTTTTACATTTTTATTCATTTAGTTGACGCTTTTATCCAAAGCGTCTTACAATTCCTATATATGTCAGAGGTTGCATGCCTGGAGCAACTAGGCGTTAAGTGTCTTGCTCAGGGACACATTGGTGTCTCACAGTGGTTTGTTACCCTAGTTACCCTAACCCTAACTCGGGTCTCTCACACCAAAGGCATTTGTCTTATCCACTGCGCCATTACCACCCCATCTTTTTATTATACATCTTTTTATTCTAACCCTAACAGTCTACTAATAATAACACTCTAATGAGAGTTAGTAGACATGTAGGTGCAATGTTACTTTACGTCTGATATAGTCAACAGACTGTGTTTAAGGCACCATCAAAATAAAGTGAAACCCAACGGATAAATAATGACAGGCAGACAGACAAGACAGATAGATAGATACAAATAGATTAAAAAAACAGCTTATACAATCATATTAAATTGTTTTTTGAAAATGTAAAAATGCAGAAAGTTTTATGTGATGGATAGGTCAAAGGGGTAGAATATACGGTTTGTATAGTATAAAAATCATTATGTCTATGGAAAGTCCCCATAAAACTTGGGAACCCGTGTGTGTGTTTTATAGGCCGACAGTGTGTGGTTGAACATGCACAACAATGAAGCTCTACCGTCAGCTGAGGAGCTGGAGGACTGGATTGAGGATGTTCTCTCTGGAAAGGTCAATACTGAGGATGATGATGATGATGATTATGACGATGATGAGAGCGAAGATGATAGTAGTGATGAAGACCATGATAGTGATGATGATTAAGTGGTATATACACTCGGTAAAGGAACGGCAGCTATGGTTGCCAGACAATTACTGTAAAAAATATGGTACAGCAACATAGACTGACCACAAATTTACAGAATTTTTTATTTTATATTAATAACTGCAATGATGTTTATATATCAAATTACTAACATCTTTAATAAACTGACAACCACACAGGTGGTAAAGAAAAAGCCACATGAATCAAAGGTCATCACAAGTAACTGTTCCACAAGCTGATAATAAATATATTAACTGAAAGTAAATATTAATGTATATAAGATGCACACAGTAATTACACAATGGTACTACGTATGTTGGTAACACACAACACTAAATGTATCCCATGACAACATTAATTAAACAGCATAAGATGTACTGTCACATAAAATACATAACAGATAAGAAAAAAGTAAATAAATAATAAACCCATAAAAGTCTTACAAAGGGAATTCTAGGATTGTCAATTTATTTTTTATTTATTTTTTGCTGTACATTATTAGGTGACTTGTTCTTTATCAATTTCAAAAATGGTACATTTAACAGTATTTTACTGTAAAAATGCATGAAATGTCTCATTAGATCTATTCCAGGTTTTTCTCTGCAGAAAATTTTGGGAACTTACTGATTGAAAATTAACCGTTTTTACCATAGCATTTTAGTATTTTACGGTTAAAATTAAAAACATTTTACAGTGTAGAAAAACTAAAATCATTGAGTACTGTAACTCCAAAAAAAAAAAAAAAAAAAAAATTATGCATTGTGTTGATGCTATCCATTTTCATTTCTGATGGTTTACTTACTAATAGTTTATTTAACTAATGTTATAGTATTTTTGCAAGAGATATTTGATGATGCAAAATGCAAAAACATATAATTGCTTATCTTTTGCTGCTTATTCATAAAATACAGTAACTGGTACTGTAATATGATTAAGAAATTGTGCATTCTGTAGTGTTACTTGTAATTTGAGGAAAATGTCCTGTACTGGGAGGACAACTAAATGTCCAATAAAGAACACAAATTGTTATTTTACTGTGTGTACCTACTTAACCATGTTTTGGAGACAAAGTTATACCTATAAAAGCGGTCTAAATATGACAAGACCTCCTTTTGGGGAGATCCAGAAATATCCTAATTTGTAGTAAAAAAATAAAAAACAAATCTTTTTACAAATTAGGATATTGCTATATGTCCCCAAAAGGATGTTTTCTGTTAGGATAATGTTATAGTATTCATAATTAGCTGTGTACAAAACAACAGACGTCTATGATGGAACATGTATGTACAAAACCCAATTCCATAAAAGTTGGGACACTGTACAAATTGTGAATAAAAACAGAATGCAATGATGTGGAAGTTTCAAATTTCAATATTATATTTAGAATACAACATACAGTCCCTCCAGGATTTCGCGATGTCGCGATCGCAACTATTAACGCAACTTCAACAAATCCACATGAATTCAGTGCGCCTTGCAATTTTGAAAAATCACCGCAACTTTTCTGCAACTTTGACGAATCATCGCGCCGCGGTCTCCTGCAAAGCGTCGTCATACGTCAGCAAACTCACTTGTTTTGTTCAGAAGACGCAGCAGATGTGGACTGCCAACGTCTCACATTTAGGCTACCTACAAAAATAACAGAAACGGCCAATGTTGCCAACTTAGTCTTTGTCGCTATATTTAGTGATATAAAAAAGCGACTCTAGCGGCTTTTTGGACAAACCTCAGTAACCAAATGTTGCCAGCACAATCCTGCGAGCGCGAGGTTTGCTTTCTCCCTGCCGTCACACCTCTCTCTGCGTCCATGTTCAGTGAACGGCTGCAGTTGAGGAGCAGCACGGCAGCTGACAGACGCGAATGAGCAGTGTTGTTTCCACGGACTTATCACTTATCTGCTTCTCTTTTGTTTTATATTTAAAGAATTGAGTTTGACCATTTTATTTTCCTTTCTTTTCTTGTGTTTATCACTTGTAATAGGCTACTCACTATCACAGTGCATTAGTTCACCCAGTTCCCGAACTCTCTCAATTCAGAAAATTTTACACATAAAAAATAGCTACCCGACTCGTTCTATTGTCTGACAAAAAAAAATTAAGCTTTATTGGATATGCGGCTATATTATGTTAGCTATATTAAAATACATTATCAAACATTTGGTTTTTCCACCATTTAACTTTAGTGGCTATTCCTAAAACTGTATTTTGCACTTTATTAGTATTGGCATCTTTCAACATAAATGCTGCTTAATGTTTGTGAGGTTCTGCACATTGACTTTTTTGCAGGTGCAGATCTTGTTTAAAAAAAAAAAGAAGCTTAGTTTGTTAGGTTTTGCTGTGTCTTCAAATCGTTTGTTTTGCCTTTTATGGTTACTAATGGTTAGTTAGTTTGTTCGTGTGTTACAAAGTGTGTGACTTTGTCTCTTAAGTCAATTCTGGACTACAATAGAGCAGATGCAGATGATGAACAGTGTTTTCTGTGGGACATAATAAGTCCCTTTGGGGTGGACTTTGGACTTTTCTCTCTTAGTAAACCTATAACATGCACAAAAAATATAACAACACAATAAAGGAAAGGGGAAAAGCCAAAAAGCATAATATGGGCATTTTAAGTTAAAAATCTATCTATCTTTGCCGTTTTAACCTATAAAAACATGCAGAAGAACATCGCAACTTTTATCGCAACTTTTTAAAAAAGCGGCCGCAACATCAGGCATTTTAGGCCGCAACAATCACAAAAAAGGCCCGCGAAATCCTGGAGGGACTGAACATAGATGACATATCAAATGTTTAAACTGAGAAAATGCATAATTTTAAGGGAAAAATAAGTTGATTGTAAATTTCATGGCATCAACACATCTCAAAAAAGTTGGGACAAGGCCATTTTTACCACTGTGTGGCATCCCCTCTTCTTTTAATAACAGTCTGCAAACGTCTGGGGACTGAGGAGACAAGTTGCTCAAGTTTAGGAATAGGAATGTTGTCCCATTCTTGTCTAATAAAGGCTTCTAGCTGCTCAACTGTCTTAGGTCTTCTTTGTTGCATCTTCCTCTTTATGATGCGCCAAATGTTTTCTATGGGTGAAAGATCTGGACTGCAGGCTTGCCATTTCAGTACCAGGATCCTTCTTCTACGCACCCATGATGTTGTAATTGATGCAGTATGTGGTTTGGCATTGTCTTGTTGGAAAATACAAGGTCTTCCCTGAAAGAGACGATGTCTGGATGGGAGCATATGTTGTTCTAGAACTTGGATATACCTTTCAGCATTGATGGTGCCTTTCCAGATGTGTAAGCTGGCCATGCCACACGCACTCATGCATCCCCATACCATCAGAGATGCAAGCTTCTGAACTGAGCGCTGATTAGTGATGGCCGGTTCGTGAACGAATCGTTCTTTTGAACCGGTTCTTTTTAGTGAACCGGTCGAACCAGTACACTAAATCGGACTGAATCGTTCTAAACAGTTCGCGTCTTGCGTCAGCGCTAAACCACAAGTTACTAAAGTTACTCACTTTCAGACATGCCTGACAGTCCCTCCGAATCGAAATAAACCAATATCCATTAGTACATTTTATTCCAGTAACTCAAAAACTTCACTGAACGGAGACATATATTGGTGCTGAGAGAAGTGATGAGCACGAGCAGCTGATACTGCGCATGCGTGTACTACCGAACATACAGGAACAGCGGTCGGATAACCAGTACAGAACCGAGAACTGTTTCTTTCGGACACGTTCGACATACTGAGAACTGATGAGTTGATGAGCTGAGCATGCGTGCATTTTTTTCTGAGGGACGAAATGTACGTTTCCATGTCTTTAGTTGAACATCAGTAAGTGTAACAAAATAAAACATTTTGGAAACATGTTTATCACATTACTGTATCACTGTATTATTTTAACGATTGGAAATAATGATTGGATTCTAAAACTGTCAAACTACTAAACATTTATTATTATACTAAAATAATATTTTCAGGAACAGCTAGCTCATTTAATTTCTAAGTAACAATAAATCATTGATGTAAACTCTTGCCAAGGTTTGGTGCACTAGTAAATGTTTATAATGTGTTAACATAACGAATTAAACATGTTTAATTCGTTATGTTAACACATTATAAACATGATATATATACACTGTATAGGCTACAGAAGGATATATTGGAGACAGACATGCATCGATTTTTTAGTTTTGTGGACTGTATCAGGTTTCAGGTCAGCACACACAGGCCTATGCTATGGTTCTCGAGTCGAGAGCTGGTTGTTGCAGTTCTTGAATCACTAGTACAGAACCGAGAACTGTTTCTTTCGGACACGTTCGATACGGAGAACCGATGAGCTGGAGATACTGCGCATGCGTGATAGCACCGTCTCTGAACAGAACTTTCTTTCGGCCGGCTGATCCTGTGGTGATATACGAGCACGCAGTAGTACGTGAACCCAGGACTTAAATGAGAGGGCGAAACGGCGAAATGTAAGTTTATTTAATAACAAATAAAATGATGAAGACCATTTATGCATTTTATATATTTAAAACATGTAAAACATCCGCGTTAGCACATCGCCTAGGCTGCAGCTGGGTTCGTTTTCAAAATGTAAATGTAAGAAACTTATCCAAGATGATTATGACAATGCATACTATTATTTAACTGAAGTTGTGATTACAAATGCCCTTTAATTTGAAGTATTTTTATCCGCCGGGATGATAGAATTGACGTCATTACGTGATGACGTAAAAGAACTGGTGAACCGGTTTTTTGAACCGGTTCATTAAAACGAACTGTCCGAAAGAACCGGTTCGCGGAAAAGAACCGGACTTGTCCTCTTTAGTCCGGATGACATGGCGTCCCAGTTTTCCAAAAAGAACTTCACATTTTGATTCGTCTGACCACAGAACAGTTTTCCACTTTGCTAGAGTCCACTTTAAATGAGCCTTGGCCCAGAGAAAACGCCTGCGCTTCTGGTTCCCGTTTAGATGTGGCTTCTTTTTTGACCTATAGAGCTTTAGCCGGCAACGGTGAATGGCACGGTGGATTTTGTGCACTGACAATGTTTTCTGGAAGTATTCTTGAGCCCATGTTGTGATTTCCATTACAGTAGCATTCCTGTGTGTGATGCAGTGCCGTCTAAGGGCCCGAAGATCACGGGCATTCAGTATGGGTTTCCGGCCTTGACCCTTATGCACAGAGATTGTTCCAGATTCTCTGAATCTTTGGATGATATTATGCACTGTTGATGATGATAACTTCAAACTCTTTGCAATTTTTCTCTGAGAAACTCCTTTCTGATATTGCTCCACTATTTTTTGCCTCAGCATTGGGGGAATTGGTGATCCTCTGCCCATCTTGACTTCTGAGAGACACTGCCACTCTGAGAGGCTCTTTTTATACCCAATCATGTTGCCAATTGACCTAATAAGTTGCAAATTGGTCCTCCAGCTGTTCCTTATATGTACATTTACCTTTTCTGGCCTCTTATTGCTACCTGTCCCAACTTTTTTGGAATTTGTAGCTCTCATGAAATCCAAAAGGAGCCAATATTTGGCATGGCAATTCAAAATGTCTCACTTTCAACATTTGATATGTCATCTATGTTGTATTCTAAATATAATATTGAAATTTGAAACTTCCACATCATTGCATTCTGTTTTTATTCACAATTTGTACAGTGTCCCAACTTTTATGGAATTGGGTTTGAGAGAGTGTTGGCCTCAACTCATGTTAGTGCTATGAGTGTCTCATTAGCATGTTGTGGATTGTATTTGCACATACAGGATTAAAGACAAAAATGTCCTACAGGATTAAAGTTTAACTCTAAATTTAGAGGGTGGAATTAGGGATTACACCTTTAGTATTTACAGTCATAAGGAACAAATAACTATTATCTGGCCTACATGGTGAGTTGATTGCAGTGAGATTATGAACTAATTAACCCCAATGCATGAATTATAATATTCCTTTGTGTTTTTATTGCTCTTAAGGCATGAAAAACCAGATTTGATTTGAGTTTTTTTTTTGTTTTTTTTTTGAATTTTTCAAAGAGATTTTCAGATGTCCACTTTTTTGTTATTTGTTATTTATTTCGATCTCCATTAGCTGCACACAGCGGCTACTCTTCCTGGAGTCGATTCAAACCAACATGTGAAACCAACAAAAACTTTTACACCATGAACAAACACAAATAGAAATAAAAATTAAAACCCACACACCCCTATTCATACACACCTACATCCAAAACCAACATTCACCCATATACACAAAACCTAGTTCATTCTCAGATTTGAATAATCTTATGTTACAAAATTAAATTTATACAGTTTGGTCATGATACTGTCGCAATAATTTATAATGTAATACAATTTACTATTCATGTTAACTCGTAATCAAATGCCTTTTTAAAAGGACTTTAAAATGACGTTTACTGTGTGCATTGACAATGTCACCGGGCAAAGTATTCCAACAGAACATTGCTTTATACAACAAAGCTCTCTTTCCATAATTTGTTCGTACTTTGGGTAGTATAAACCTACCCTCTGTAGCATGTCTAGTGGCATAATGGTGCTCATCAGAACTAAAGTGCAACTTACAATAAAGTACTTTTGGAGATTTAGTTAAAATGATAGTTCTTGTTAAATTTAGCAAGGAAACTGTAAATCTTTCTTTTACCTTTAACCAGGACAGTGTATTACTCAAAATTCTACTTTATTTAATTTCTTTTGACTTTTCCCCCGCAAAACACAGAGATTCAAATTATTATGACATACAACTTGTGTACAATATACAACATGTGTTAACATTATGT